GTAGAATCCCAAAGAAAGTCCATCGATGGGCAGAAGTCTGACGACAAATAGTAGTCTGACGACAGGCAGAAGTCCGTAGTCGGGTGACGTACACTGTCAAGTCGAAGACCGATGAAAGTTCGTCAACGAGCAGAAGTCCGAAGATGAGTAGAAGTCCGCTGACGAGAAGAAGTCCGACGATAGGGAGAAGTTTGACATCGGGTAGAAGTACAATATCGGGTAGAAGATTGATGAAAGTCCATCGAGGGGCACAAGTCCAATGATGGGAGGAAGCTCTACGTCGGGCAGAATCCCAATGAAAGTTCAACGACAGGGAGAAAGCTCTGCATCAGGCAGAAGTCTGATGAAATTTATGCTATGCAGAATTTCGATAACGGGAAGAAGCTTGATGTTGGACAGAAGTCTGACAATGGGTTGAAACCCGATAAAAGTTTGACGACGGGCAAGAGTCCGACGTTGGGCAGAAGTACGGCCTTGGGCAAAAAACTGATGAAAGTGCATCGACGGGTAGTAGTCCGTCGACAGGTAGAAGTCCACTGACGAGCATAAGTCCGAGGTCGGGTAGAAGTACTGTGTCAAGTAGAAGGCCGACGAAAGTTCGTCGACGAGCAGAAGTCCGACGATGAGTAGAAGTCCGCTGACGAGAAGAAGTCCAATGAAAGGGAGAAGTCCGACGTTGGGTATTATTCCGTCGAAAGTCCTGCAAGAAAAAAGTTCAGCAACATGAGGAAATTCAACATCAGGTAGAAATTTAACTGTGTAGAAGTCCGATGGAAGTCCATTGACGGCATTTTGGTGACGTTAACCAAGGATGTATAATCTATTCAAGGTTGTTTGTTAGAGCCTTTGCTCGATGATGTTAACCGATATTGGATCCACCAATGATGTAAGACCTATCCAAGATTGTATGTCAGAGCATTTGCCTGATGACATTAACCTGTATGGAAGAGGTCGAGAGAATCCACCAAGGATGTAAGACCTTTCCAAGGTTATATGCCAGAGCCCTGCTCGATGACGTTAACTTGTGTGGAAGAGGTCGGGAGAATCCACCAAGGATGTAAGACCTATCCGAGGTTGTGTGTCAGAGCCCTGCTCGATAAAGTTAACCTGTGTGGAAGAGGTCGGGAGAATCCACCAAGGATGTAAGACCTATCCGAGGTTGTATGTCAGAGCTCTACTCGATGATGTTAACCTGTGTGGAAGAGGTCGGGAGAATCCACCAAGGATGTAAAACCTATCCGAGGTTGTATGTCAGAGCCCTGCTCGATGACGTTAAACTGTATGGAAGAGGTCGAGAGAATCCACCAAGGATGTAGGACCTATTCGAGGTTGTATGTCAGAGCCTTTGCTCGACGACGTTAACCTATGTGGAAGAGGTCAAGATAATCCACCAAGGATGTAATACCTATCCGAGGTTGTATGTTGGAGCCTTTGCTCGACGACGTTAACCTGTATAGAATAGGTCGAGAGAATCTACTAAAGATGTAGGACCTTTCTGAGGTTGTATGTCGGAGCCTTTGCTCGACGATGCTAACCTGTGTGGAAGAGATCGAGAGAATCCACCAAGGATGTAAGACTTATCCGAGGTTGTATGTCGGAGTATTTGCTCAACGACGTTAACCTGTGTGGAAGAGGTCGAGAGAATCCACTAAGGATGTAAGACCTATCCGAGGTTGTATGTCAGAGCCTTTGCTCGACGATATTAATCTGTGTGGAAGAGGTCAAGAGAATCCACCAAGAATGTAAGACCTATCCGAGGTTGTATGTCGGAGTATTTTCTCGACGACGTTAACCTGTGTGGAAGAGGTCGAGAGAATCCACCAAGGATTGATTTTGCTTTGATTGGGAGGGGGCGAACGCCGTGTGTATCCCTAATTAAAAGTAGAGAACGGTCTATCTTTAGACCGTTATTGCCTTTATGAGGTTGACATTAATTAAGACATTGCCCAAGGAGTAGAAGTCCAACAGGGGACTTTATGAAGCTTATAATCGATTGAAAGTATTCTTGCATTCGCTGGGATTTTTCTAAAATATCATCTTGATATTGAAAGCATTGGAGGGATCTTCTTAATCACGATTGGAGTCAAAGTTGCCCCCAAGTCCGCATCTGATTCTTATAAAATTGATGCAGCAATGACTGATGTCAAGAAGTTGATAAGGGCGATCTTTTGAGATTGGAACAATAATTGCCTCCCAGTCGGGAATCACTTTCCCACATACGGTGCCAAATTGTTGTGTCCTGGAATATTCGCGGTAGTAGAGAAATATATGGTTTAACGTCTTAGCATTATACGAAGATGCAGCACACAAGCAGATAAGAGAGGGGATGAAACATTTATAAGAGACGCTAGAGTTTTTACGTGGAAAACCCCTAAAAAGGGGAAAAACCACAGGGCCTGGCCTAGTTTGAATGAATCCACTAGTATTTGAAGTCGATTATAAATGAGTCCCTTCATTTGGAGAAGGCCTTGTATTGATGTAGCAAATATACATCATATAGATTGCATTACATGGTAGGAGTTACATATACATGTTTGTTTGGTCGGAAGGACCGTAGTCGGCAGGAGACCGGGGGTCAGAAAGACCGTTGTCTGTTGAAGGAGGTTGGACGGAACATAGTAGGCGACAGAGGTTGAAAGGACCGTAGTCGGCAGGAGACTGGGGTCAGAAAGACCGTTATTTGTTGATGGAGGTTGGAAGGACCATAGTAGGCAACGGAGGTCTGAAGGATCGTAGTCGGCAGGAGACCTGGGTCAGAAAGACCGTTGTCTGGTGATGGAGGTCGGACGGACCGTAGTAGGCGACCGAGGTCGAAAGGACCGTAGTCGGCAGGAGACCGGGGTCAGAAAGACCGTTGTTTGTTGATGGAGGTCGGAAGGACCATAGTAGGCGACGGAAGTCGGAAGGACCGTAGTCGGCAGGAGACAGAGGTCAAAAAGATTGTAGTCGTAAGGCAGTGCTCCGACGGAAGTCCATGTGTTATTCGGTGGTCTGGTGGAACTTTGACTTCTATTGGTGGCCTGATAAAAGTTTAGGCATCAGTCCGTGGTCCGACGAAACTCCGGCGGCGGCGATGGTCCAACGGAACTCCGGCATCAGGCGGTGGTCCTAACAAAAGTCCCGCGTCATGTGGTGGACCGACTGAAGTCCGGCATTAGGCGATGGTCCTGATAGAAGTTTGTGGAGTGGCATGGCTTGTAAATAGGTGTGAGATCAGGGGCGAATAGGGAGTGGTCGAATGGACGGCCGATATCGAATCCTATGATCGTGCACCATTCGTTGGACATTTGAAGGTGTTAGAGATGTCGGAATTCAGCGATCTTGGGCTAGTTGGATTCGTCTCGTCGAGCCGTTCGATTCGAGTATAAGCTCGTAAAAATCGGAGACTGTTCGATAACTAAAATAGTGTTATGAAGCTCCCAACAGCACTTCGAGTCCTTAATTTGGGCTCGGATTGAGTTGAATTTGGTGTCGTTGGATTCGTACTTCCGAGACGCTCAATTCGACTGTAAGTTTGTTGAAATCGGAGTTCAGATGGTCTCCGAATTAATTTTTGAAGTTTCCAACTTGATTCTGTATCGAGATTCGTGCCCGATCAAGATAATTTTTTAACGACGTATCAATTACTATTATTATTATCACACTAATTATAATAATAGTTAACCAAAATTAATAACATAAAATAATGGATTAAAAAGAAAACTATCTTCACGGGCTACAGGGCTTTGACCGTGAGGGTTGAGGCTAGAGGTTTAGGAAAGCTAATTGGGTGGATGAGATATGCTATTGGCCTTTATTATATGGCTGCTTGGGTAAATTAGTGGCAGTGGTTTTGGTTTATTTGGGTTTGTAAGAGTTGAGCTAGATTGGAGATCGGCTGTTTTGGCTAGGTGAAGTCGGAGGGTAGAGAGCATGAATTAGTTAGCTAGCGTCAGATTTGGCGTGGCTTTGAGACCGGCTGGAGCTAGCGATCGGAGTGATCAGACCGGATTGGAGGCTGGGCATTAGGAAGAAAGGGGGGAGATCATGATCAAAGGTAGCGGAGAAGGATTTCAACAGGATTTTTGGGATCTCTCCCACGGAAAATTATTAGGTCCGATCATCGGACCTAAAAATAGGTTCAGACATTCAATTAAAACTTTCCACGCCACCTGCCCTTTGACTCCATTTTTTTACTATGCTTTGACTACGCTTTAGGTGCGCTTTGACTGCGCTTTACCTACGTTTTGATTGCGTTTTACCTGCGCTTAGACTGTGCTTTTGACTGAGATTTGCCTGCGCTTTTAACTCGCTTCATTTAAAATAATATTTTATTAATATAAGGACCTATCTCCACGTCCGGTGACCAGATGTAATCTTATCTACAAACCCATCTGCCTTCCAAAATTTACCCCGGAACTTAATTCTGTTAAAACTCCCTCGCTCAAATAAAAAGAAATCGCGCGGCGGGGAGGCTGGGGCCGAATTTTCGGAGCCCACAAAATATTATTATTATTATTATTATAACAATGAATTAGAAGTTTGCCCGTCTTGGAATTTATGCGTTAATCTTTCAATTTGCGTGCATTTTCTCGAATCCATGCATTTTGCCTTAGGATATGTGCCAACTTTAATTGAATAAATGTATGAACATTCTTAGGTATGACAGTGCTTCGAAAACGTCGAGGTCCATTTTACAATCGAACGTCATCTGGCAACATCACGGATTAATTTTGAGTGTCGGTCATCCCTTTTGATCAATTCCTCCCAATTTGATTGCGAGGGGTTCTCATTTAGGCAAATTCGACACTCTAATCGCAATAACATCGTCCATTTGGCAATCAAAAATCTTTTGACCCTTCAAGTGATGCATCACGTGTCAATTTTGCCACGTTTCATCTGTCTTTGCGTATAGGGATCAACATTTGCTTGGACCACAACTTGTATCTCCATAATTAGCTGACGTTCAGCAAAAGCTATAAATGTTATTTGACTCTGAAGGATAGTTTAAGAGGCTAATATCGATGTAAATTTGAATTCATGTATAACAACTTCACTAATGAAGCAAGTATATACAGTAGACGCCTCATCTAACACTCGTTAAGTTCTAAAAGTTCATTGTGTTTTTATGTTTTACCGCCTGTGGATGTACAGTATCTGGAATTCTTTTACTAAACTGAGAGAACAAGCTCTGCCCATGCCAGAGAAGGCTCTCTAAAAATTGCACCAACCGAGGTGTCGATGCCATCCTCCAACATTGCACATAATATATGCATTGATGGCCTCTTCGACAGTTCAGGCTCAATACATAGGCTAATCACACGGCAGAGTACAGAGAGGTTGTCAATCTTTACATTTTTGATTTCTGGGTCTACTATCATGCTCATCTTGTTGGGGTCTTGTAGATAATCTATTGCCTGCAGATTTAATATAATTGCAAGCGTTAATTCACTGAAGATAGGATCATAGCACAGACTATTGTAATAATAATCAAAGGATTTCATGGTTGAAGATAGGAACCAAAAAGAAGAAAAGAAACAGCAGAATTAGAAGCTATTTCGTAATAAGCATCTCGAAGATCAGCTAAAAGCACACTCTTTCTAACGCAGTTCAACAAAATTTCTGGAACAACAAGAATCAGAGAATAGTTGATGAAACAATTCTTCGTAACCCACTAGTATTTCTCTGTTGGAGTCGATTGCTGTAGAACTTTAAAAGCTATAGAGTCAAATAATCTTCAAATCACTTCAAAATATATGAATCAGATTCAAAAATGTCAGCCTTTAGTTACTTATGGAGGAAATAGTGGGCAAGCACATGCTATAGCAGTACCTATATTGAGCTCAAACACCAAGATCAAGACATAATGATCAATCAAAGAGCAAGGGACCTAAACCCATCAAAGTACGGTATCTGCACTATTTAATGGTTGTCTCTAACTGTTTCAGTGATTATGCGCAAATTAGAAAATATTGCTATACTGTAGTTGTTTAATGCTCTTCTAAGAACAAATATATATAAAAAAATAGAGAAGTTACAAATACAAAAATAATATCCTAAATAAATATGTAAGCCTGGATAACTATCTGAGATCTATGGAGAAAAATTTTACTAACATGAACATTTTGGAACAAGTATTAATCTAAAATACAAAGCATTTCAGTTTTTAAATTAAATATATCAATGTTTAAATTGAAAGGGTAATCGTTGCTGCTTAATGATGCATTGGTCTAGAAAAGAAGGAAAATACTTCTCCACATAGCGTGCTTATAGAACACATTCACTTCCACATTGTCACTTTACATTGAGAAGTTCTACTTTACACATGAAGTACGTCTGATACTAAACCTGAATACCTAATTTATTAAGATGTTGGTGAATTCCTTACCCAGTCTACAATGCTGTCTCTGTCTTTATAATTTGGAGACCTTCCACTGATCAACTCCAGTAAGAGCACACCGAAAGCATAAGTGTTACCCTGCACATCCATATTCCATGTCTCTGAAGTCTCCAGAAAACCATTAAATAAGCTTCCATTAGTTAAGTAGCCTAAGCCATTGTCTGATCTTGAAACAATAGCATTCCATCTTTCAAAATCAACCAACTGCAGATGAGCAAATAATGCAGAAAGTTATTATCTTTATGTTTTATAGATTTTCATTTCTGAGATAAAGAATATATTAACTAGTGAGAAGTGCTCAAACAGTTTAATCCAAAAGGAATTTCAAGTATGTAAAGCAAGAAGCTGCCACATTTAAGAGGTTTCTCAAATCTAAAAGATCAGAAAGAGAAAATGCATTCATCCAGTTTCTAGTAAGAACGGTAATGAAGTGCGTGAGTATGATGAACCTCATCTTTCTTAATTTTAAGAAGCTGATATTGAATTAATAAAAACATTTGCAAAATCACTAACATGCAATATTTAAACAAACCTTTGGGGAGAAATCCTCAGTCAGATATACTGCATTGGAGTTGAGTTCAGATATTGTGAATGGAGGTTGTACTTCAGTGTGCAAATATCTTAGTCCGCGAGCAACACCAATTGCTATGTTCATGCGTCTGAGCCAGGATAGCTGACCTGCATCACCATCTATGATTTTGAAGAGACAAAAGTCACATCTTTGAGGACCAAATGCCATAAAAGTTAGCATTTCAATAGTACATAAATCAGGTAATAGACTTACAGTGGAGATGCTCATACAATGTTCCATTGGATGCATATTCAAAGACTAACATTCTTGAAAATGGTTCATTCTCTTTGCAATAACCAAGAAGTTTAGATGTGTTTTCGTGATTTAACCTTGCCAAGTTATCCACCTGAAGTGTAAATGATTTTTCTGAGCAAAGAATTAAGGTATTTTTTTCCGAAAAGAATTGGGCTTTCAGATTTCTTACCTCCTTCTGAAAGCAAAGCTCAAGATAGCTTGGCCAGTGAGTGACTGATACTGAAAGTGATATGACAGCAATTTCAGGACCATCCTTTACAGTTCCCTTATAAACTTTGCTGTTGGCCGAAGACCCAATTATGTTGCTGAAATCTTCACAAGCTAGTTCAAGATCCTCTCGGCTGTACCTCAAGACATGTTTGAGAAATCCATCATCTGTGCATAACAGAATTAGTCTGAAATGTATTCACACCATTTTCAGCAATCCATCAGCTTAGCAAAATCATGAAGCAGCTGAAATAAAATATATATATATATATATATATATAGTTACGAGAACAAAAGACAGAACAAACCAATTGATATTGATATCTGATCCTTCATGATTTGTGCTCGCTTCCGATCCATCGTGACATTAGACTTTGATTTGCATCTTTTAACGCTATGAACAATGCAGATTACTAAGAAAACAACAAGAGCAGCTCCTGTAACTATTTCTAGAATCATTAGCCACAAAGGTTCCTTTAGATTTTTATGGTTAGTTCTGCCACTTGATTGCTTATAAGTCTCTTCTGCACTTTCCTGGCTTTTTACAAGCAAACCTACAATAAGCAATAAGTTCTTCAACTACAAGAGTAACAACATGAACACAAAAACTGAGCATTAGGCGTTTTTAGTAAGTTTTATCTATTTTTCTGGAATCACTCAACTATAATGTTCAGCATCACTTAACAATATCAAAATGCCGACAAGTTAAAAAAAGGAAGAAAAATGGACAGCCTATCCCCACCACATCATTTCACAAAAATATTATTCAATTTAACCAAATTTAGCAACCAAAATTCTAATGAAAACATTTTTATGCCCTTAAAAATGCACCTTAATGGTATTGTGATACAGTCATTGAATATTGATAAAATACAATCCATAGTAGTCCTCAAATAGCACCAAAACTTTTCCCATCATAAGGCTAGAAAACTCATTCCTATGGGTCCATTCGGTCTATGAGACAGGTAAAGATGTAAAGCTATCAGAATTAGAAAATTGTGGTATAAACGAGACAAAAGAAGTATTAAGGTTATAAAAAGCAAGAAAAGTATCATTTGATCAGTACATGTAATTTACTTGAGTTGCTTGTTCCATCACTTTGCTTCAAATATAAATGATTGTTATCTCATTATCAAATCACCAATCACATTGCATTCCTAACAAGATTCAAAGAATGAAATTCATTGGAGGACAGGGTCTAACATCATACACTGTTGACTCGAACGCTGCATCAAAGAATCTTTATCTTGAAAGCAATTACCTTGAAAACTTGACCTATCGAGAGTACAATAAAACTAGTGAATTTAAGTTAAGACATGACATATTCAAGCTATGAAATGTTAGGTTTTACCTTGGAAGGTATTTCAAGCAAGAAGGTATTTTTCCCTGCAAAAAATTGTATGAAAAATCTGCAACTTCTAACTTAGTTAACTCGCACAAACCAGCAGTGGAGTTACCATGAGAAACAAACCTGAAACATAAAAGGAAAAACATTAATATTCTGCAAGAGCATAAAGCAACACTATGTATTCAACATAAGAATATTATTCACTGTAACCATAAAATTTACTGAGTTTTTGTTCCTTGTATAGATTAACTTACTAATATGATACTAAAAATAGAAGAGTGGAGCATGAACTAAAAATTGCAAAAGTGTTTAAGACTAATATTGGTCATTTACTCATTTATATACTAAATAACAGTATGATTAGAATAAATTGAAAAAGCCCATGACATCAAATGATGTTCAAAAATCATGTAAGAAAAGAGGGTATTTACATTCCATCAGTTGTCGAGGACTTCGAGTTTTTGCTCCCAGGAATTGGTCCATTAAGCTTATTCCTATCCAACTGAAGTTCAACGAGGTTTACCAGGTTACCAAGCTCAGGAGGGATGACACCAGTTAAACCATTAAAGTGAAGATTTCTACAGAATGATGAGCAATAAAAGAAATCAGAAACCACAAGTTTAAAAAAAAAAAAAAAAAGAGCAAGGAAATAAAATCTTCTGCTTACATTGTTGTTATACTAATCAAGTCTCCAATTTCTGAAGGAATTGGACCCAAAAAACGATTTGCACTCAAATCCAATACTTGCAAGCTTTTAAGCCTGCCGATTTGTCTAGGCATTGTCCCATAGAACAGATTATTATCTAAAATCCTGTGAAGGAAACAAAAAAAGTATCATAATGAAGAAAAAAAAAGATATGAAAATGTAATGTATCAATTGATAGAAAGAACATCATACAACTCTTTTAGTGAATTCAGAAAGCCAACTTCTTCTGCAAGGAACCCTTTCAAAGAGGAATTGGAGAAGTTTCTGTCAAAGAAACCAAGAGCTCAAAAGGAAGGACAATATAAGAAATGCCATTAGGTAAAAAATAAAATTAAAAAAAAAAAAAGCTTCAACACCATCATATTGATGAAGTAAACTTTGAACATATTTCAGCTCCTCTAAAATTATACTAAGAGGTCAACATGCTTTTATTTTACAGCAGAAATCATTCCAAAGAAATAACAAGAGAAAATATATATATCTATGCATGTCTGATTTGAAATCTTTGCACACCAAATACAACTAATTTGACTTAGTAGGTCATGTAAGATTCGTAGTAACTATTGCTTACAGAGAAATCACACTGTTCTTCGAATCTGAGCACTTGATGCCAGACCAGCTGCAAGGATCTCCACTGCTACTCCAGTCAGATAGCTTTCTAAGAGGGTCTTCCGATATAGCCAGCTTAAAAGCTCTCAGTGCTGCAACTGCCAAAAAAAAAAAAAGATAAAATCATGAATCTAATAAAGATGCAATTTTGAAGTTTAAGAAGTCAAAGATGAAAATATGAAGCTCCTGAACCAAATCCCAACTTCAATTATCTAAATAGAATCAAAAACAAAGAAAGCTTGAAAAAGATTCAGCAAAACGAAGCGAATGGTAAGAGCACATACTCTCTTCCTCACGAACGGACTCACAAGGGTTAAAGAGAAGGGTTTCCAACTGAGTCGCAAGAAGAAGAAGAAGTAAGCTGGGAAATCTCATTATATTCTAAAATTTGTACTTCCAAAGCTCACAAAGCTGGGAAATCTCTGAAGTCCTACACTTATCTGACGAGAAAAAAAAATAGTGATGTTACTGAGGAGATGATAGATGCCCGGAAGAGGAAATTCATGAGAAGTCGGAGGCACACGGATTAGAGATTTGGTCCAAAGTTGGATTTTTATTTTAAATACAGAAGTAAAACAAACAAAATTATAAGGACAAGAGATGAATGAAATGCTAGTAAGGGTTGGGGAAGGGTATGACAGGAGAGACTATATTTGGATTTTGGATAATGATTTTATGTTTGGATAATTTTAATAGTTTCAATTTAATTTAATAGAAATTAATTTGAAACTTATTAATATTTTTAATTTTAATTAATTTCGCCAATTTTAGTTGAAATTTAAATTTTCGTTGACGAAACTCAAAAATTACACCAGAAGTTTTTCTTTTTAATTAAAAATTTTAAGAATTTAAAAAAAAAAACTGATTTCCAAAGTTAAAGTTTCATTAATTTTATATGTATTACAATTAGAATCTCAATGGAATATATATATATATGAAATTATCAAAAAAATTATGAATCACTTCTAAGATTTTTTTTTTATCATTAGAAAATCGTAAATGTATAATATATTGAAATGAACATTTTTAATGTCATTTTATGTGTTCATAGTTTTTTAATGAATAATTTGTTACACTTGTCAAATTTATTTAAAGTAAATAACTAAATATATACCTCACAATTACATTCTAAAAAATTTACAGTGATATAGAGAAAGTTTTTAATCATAATTTTTTGTTAAATCCAACAAACTGATAAAATAAAGTGAAGAATGCATGATACATCAAATTTTTACTTGAAAAATCCAAGAAGAAAAAAAAAACTACTAGAGCAAGCCTAATTGAAATAATATATTCTGTGCTTAAAGTTATAGAAATTAATTATTTTCCACTATTCTAGAAGATGAGATAGTAAAGTTGGGTGCACTTAGTATCCTATAGTAAAAATTGTGAGAAAAGTATTGGAATGATGATGATGGTTGTTGGACAATTTCTTTCAAACTATGATGGTCAAATAATAGCAATTAAACAACGGTGATTGGATGATAGTGAATAGACTGTAACAGTTGAATGTCAATGTTTAGAAGATGACGGCACGACGACATTGGTGGGACGAGGTGGTTTAACGATGGCAATTGAGCAATAGCTAGCGATGATTATCAACGTTAAACATTAGATAGAGCTTCATTGTCCTTCAAATCTTTATGTTATCTCTAATATCAAGTCTAAGGCTTTGTTTGGGACGGCTTTCTTCCTGCTTCTTAAAGAAGCTTTTAAATACCAAAAAATAATTTTTGTATTAAAAAACTGTTTTAAGAAGAAGGAAGAAAGCCATCCCAAACGAAGCATAAGACTCCTTCATGCAGAGAATGCCGATCTATTATCGCATTTCAAGAGTGATATTTTGATAAATTGAGCCAAAATTTCATAATACTCCAAACATATCATAGATCTTTATTTAGCATTTGAGTGTCTTAATAATCTCGTAATTTAATGATCTTGAGCTTGATGTATTTATCTTATCTAGATGCTCAATTTCACTACAAGCATTTAAGATTCAACAACCATTTTGTAGAAATGTACAATTCGACTATAAGTTTTCTTGAAATTAGAGTTTTGGATGATATTGAATTTAATTCCATAAGTTTCCAATTCAAACATTATCTCAAGATTTGTATATGATTGAATGGGGTTTTTATTGGCATATCATCACCGCACTTATTTTCTGATGTCAAAGTTTTGAAGTTCAATAATATATATTAAGTCTTTCATAAAATTATAATGTCAAGAAAATTACAAAGCATGGCATCAACTTAGACATCAATATAAGCCATATCTTGGACTAAGTAAAATTTCATAAACTATAATTTTAGTCTCCCAGAAGTTTGTGCGGCGTAAATTTGAACAAAATTTATTAAAAAAACATTATTCTAAACTATCTAAATTTGCATGAACTTGATCATGTATGCTTCACAGGGCTTTGAAAAGTATCGACATTATAGGTCTTGAAAATAAAAAAAAAAAGAGTGGAATATGCATTTTTGGGTCCAAAATCATATATAAAATGAGACTTTTAATTGGTTGATAGACCACCATTGTCATTGCTAATGGCATGTGTGCATAAATTATAAATTTACAAAAAAAACCCTTATTTTTTTATAAATTATAAATAAAAAAATTATAACTCTTATCTCTTTTTTTAAGTATAAATGCCCCCTTGGGGGTGAAAAAATTCTCCTATTTTTCTCCTCCTTAATAAGCTTCGAATCTTTCTCTTACGAGAGGTTAATCACTATATTGCATAATGGTGCATCATTTCCTCTTTGCATACTCTAGTACACTTATTTATAAAGATTAGATTCTATCAAAAACAGGCGGTGTGTAATCCTTTGAGTATTGAACAACCTTTCTAGATGAGCATCATTGTGCATGACACTAAGGATTTAAAATCTCTACGACAAAGCTCCAACCTTCTTTTAAAATGAGTTGATTGCCTTCATTTAGATACATTGAATCTAAGTTGAAAATTTTTTTAGCTATTTTTGAGGCTCCAATTTCTTCTCTAATGAAGTTAGTTGCCCTCAAAATTTGGTCTAGCCTTTGTGAAAGGTAATGGTTAATGTATTGGCACATTCTTAATGCATTCTAACTTTTTATTTTTGAAAGACTATCTTGTTGGCTTTTGTGCTCCCAAAATATTTGTTCAATTTATTTTATAGGATATATATGTATTTATTGAAAATTTTCATGGTGAAATTCAGTCAATTTAATTTTTGAAGAATTTTAATTGTTGAATATCCTAATGCTGAAATTATGATTTCTTTTATCTTCAACAAATTTCTATAGCTAAATCATTTATCAAAAAAGTTGAAAAGTAGATAACATCCTTAGTTTACTTGCAAGATTTTTGTCCTCTAAAAATAGTACTGTTTGAATAGTGGCTTTCTTGAATCTATGATTTTGTGGTTGCTAGATTCAAGATTTTACTATAGCATCAAATGAATGATTCTTTTTTTTGTAAACTTCTATTAATTTATACATGCTCCAAGAAAAATTTCAATATTTTCCTCAAAATGTTTTCTTGAAAATATTTGAGTAGCTATTGTCTTGTTATACATTGCGTTATTATCCTAAGAAAATTTGTTGAAGCATCAAATGAATGAAGTTTTCAGTGTGCTTATAGACATTGTAAAAAGAGTTTATTGCCCTACTTTTCTAATTTATTGTGTACTTATCATTATCAATTTTTTCTTTAATATTTTATAAATTTGTATATAATTTTAAAATATTATCACAACTAGAGCTCTATTTTCAGCTAGTTCTAGCTTGGTGTTGGGTGTTAAGGTGATGCCACGTAACAACATTGACTTTGACGCCAACGAAAATACTTGAGATGTGTTGCAACAACAACAAAACAACAAGCCTTTATCCCACTATGTGGGGTGGTTACATGAATCATTTTTCTCGATTGTGCCATGTTAAGGGTCAAATTCTCATCTAAATCTAATAAACAAAGGTCATTTCTCATATTTTCTAACCAAGTCTTTTTAGATCTATCTCTATCTTTCTTAATAGTTTGTGCATATTTACATTTTCATAATAAACTTTAAGTGAAAAGATATTGATTGATGCGAATTGATTTAAAAGTTCAATGATTTAAAGGATGTATAAGACTTCAAGAAATCTCTATTAATAATGATAAATAGTTTGTGGATTTATGTAAATCTATTAACTATGTATAATTCTTCATATTTTTTTGCCCTTATATATTTCTTCATGTATTAACATTGAAACTTGGCTAATGTTTACATTCAAAATATTTGAAGTAATAAACTCTAGATCTTTTTATAAAAGTAACTCAACTTTATGAGAATATATCCCCTAAATAAGACTAAGCTCTTTATATATATATATATTTGGATTTTTTTAGTCATTTTAGAAATCGAATATGCTCTAATTTATTCTTTGAGTTAGAAAAAAGATGTTACTTCTCAGTTGAAACATAGTGAATTCGATCTCTTAAATGATAATATCCTTCTAAGGCTTATTTCTTTCAAGAGTTTTGGATGAATGAAAATCCTATATTTTTTAGGCCTAAGCCTTTTAAGACTTTTAAATAAGTTGAGAAACATAAAATAAGGGTTAATATATATTTTTGCTATGAATATAGATTGTGAACCATTAAAGGATAACACTTTTTAAGATTCTTTAAAAAAACATTTATTGAGGTTTACAACTTTTGAGATTTTTGAAGAACCTGTCCTTCTGAGACTTTAGCCTTCTATGATTTTTTAAAGAGTGAGACCATATCAATTAGTTGCTTTCTTGCAGTTTTTCTAGTAAAGAGCATGTTAGTTGTTATCTTCTTATTGAGCTATCTCACGGGTGTGTCTTTTAAGAGTTATGTGTGGAGACTTTATATATTACTGACCTTCATAGGATTTTTTAGTGAGGACCATATCAATTTTAGATCTCTATTAAAATGTTAGCTCCATATGTGTTTAGTGGGGTGCAATAAGAGGACTCATGCTATTATCAAGATGGTTAAATTTAGTGGGAAGAATGCATTTGATTTCGTTACTGCTCCTATTTTCTTCATTTGTATGATTGATTAATTTCTAATTATGAGTTATTTCATTTATTTGAATATTCTTCAAACTATTTTTCTACTCTAAGAAAAAAAATAGCATTAGAGTAAATTAACTATAACATCATTGAAAAGTAGAAAGGTTCAAGTAAGAGTCATCCAAGAAACAAAATCTTGTACTAACTCTAGATTAAATTCTAAAATTTTTATGTAAACAAGAAGATAATCTTTGAAATTAATCTTCAAAAGTCTCTCCTTTATATTAGTGAGTTTTTAAAAGATGTGAGGAATCTTTGATGACCATCTAGCTTGCAATGAATTATTCAATGAATAGTTCTACTTTAGAGAGGGTAAACCTAGATGTGAATTTTTTCCTTTAAAGGTGCAAGGAAAATTTGGCAAAGGACCACATCAAAATTTTATTAAATAAGCATGATGATCCTATATTAGTTGATATATTCATAAAGATCTCATGTCTCATTATAAGGATTTATTGCAAGCAACTTGAACACCAGAGAGTAAGATATTGGAGAATTTTAACAATAAGGGGAGAGGACTCTAAAAATCTGT